GAACACTACTTTTTAGTCCAAGTGGCCTATTGAATCTTTGCCCAAGTCAGAAATTCTATCTCCCATCTCCATGTCTTAACACAGGTCTGTTAAGCCCTTTTTTGTGCCTTAGAAAGCTTAACTTCCTTAGAGGCTTAGCTCAGGGGTGAGGAATTTGTTCCCCACCTCTGGTTAGCTCAAGTGTCATTTCTTGTAGAAGGCCTTTCCCTGTCCCTGCTCAGTGCTCTCTACCCCACCTCAAATAGTCTTATATTTTTCTGTCTGCATGTTGTAACCTCAGTAGAATGTAAACTCTTTGAGGGCAGGGATTATTTTGTTCATTTTTAAAAAAATATTTCCAGAACCTAACACAGAGGTGCATGTGGTATATGAATGTTCCTTAAATTGAACTGACTTGAATTGTTAGCAAAAGCATGAGGGAGGACCACACAATATATGTTTAGGTTAAGTGAATGTTAGAGGGAATAATGGAAAATAAAGTTGAAAAGGGTAGTTATGGCCAAATGGCAAAGGGCCTTGAATGTTAAGCTAAGAATTATGCATTTTACTCAGTAGGTAATATATCCTATGATGTAGTAGGAAAAGCAAGAGATTTGGACCTGAGTTTGAAGCTGTCTTCAACTTTGGACAAGTCACTTTCTCTCATTAGACTCACTTTCTTCATCTGTAAAACAGAGGGTTCGAGCCTCTTTCTAGTTGCCATCTTGGTACCCTGCAAATGTGTTCCTATTGTCAGTTTCTTCTCCTGCTCTCAATTTATCTGTGTCAAGATAAAAGACAATTATGTGTCAAAAGAAACTTACCAACCTGCAGGCACAAATGTGCATTGGTAGAGAAGGAACTTCCCAAGAAAGAGTTTCTTAGGAAAGACTTCATAGTAGATGATAAGAATTTCATTTTTTCTTAAAGAAACTGGAGTAGGGCCAGCTAGGTGGAACAATGGATAGAATACCAGCCCTGGAGTGAGGAGGACCTGAGTTCCAATCTTGCCTCAGACACGTACTAGCTGTGTGACCTTGGGCAAGTCACTTTACCCCAATTTCTTCAAAGAAAGAAAGAAAGAAAATGGAGTAAACAGAAATACCTCTGATATTTAAGAAGTGAATGTGTTTGCCAACCTGGGAACACTGATCCATTTTTAAAAATAATATTTTATTTTTTCCCCAATTACGTGTTAAAACAATTTTTTAAACATTAAAAAAAAGTATTGAGTTCCAAATTCTATCCCTCCGTCCTTGCCTCTCCTTCCCCATCCCTGAGATGGTAAACAATCCAATATAGTTTATACACATACAAAAATGTAAAAACATTTCCATATAAATCATTTTGTATTTGAAGATGAATTTTAAAAAAAGAATGAAAGAAAAAAGTGAAAAATAGCATGCTTCAATCTGTATTCAGACAGTATCAGTTCTTTCTCTGGAGGCAGATAGCACGCTTCATCATGAGTCCTTTGGGATTGTCTTGGATCACTGTTTTGTTGAGAATAACTAAGTCATTCACAGTTCTTTATCATACAATATTGCTGTTCTTGTGCACAATATTATTCTGGTTCTGCTCACTTTACTTTATATCAGTTCATGTAAGGCTTTCTAGGTTTTTCTGAAATCCTCCTGGTTGTCATTTCTTATAGCACAATAATATTCCATCACAATCATACACCACAGCTTATTTATCCATTCCCCAATTGATGGGCATCCTCTCGAGTTCCAGTTCTTAGCCACTACAAAAAGAGCTGTTATAAATATTTTTGTGCAAATAGGTCCTTTTCCCTTTTGTTTAATGTCTTTGGGATGTAGATCTAGCAGTGATATTGCTGGTTCAAAGTGTGTGCACCATTTTATAGCTCTTTGGGTATAGTTCTAAATTGCTCTCCATAATGGTTAGATTGGTTCACAACTCCACCAAAAGTGCATTACTGTTCCAGTTTTCCCACATCCCTTCCAACATTTATCATTTTTCTTTTTTGTCATATTAGTTGATCTGATAACACTGATCTATTTTAACAGTTCTAATGTTCAGGCATTGTTGGGTGAAAATTCTTACATTATTACAAACCATGCTGAGATAATTCAGCCTATTCTCTCTGACATTTTAAATTCAGTTGGAGCTGACAGTCTGACTAGCTTTAAAAGACTGGCAGAGCTCTGCCCAAACAGCCTGTTAGTGGAAAAATATTATTTGCCATGGGAAGGATGATTAGATGAGGTGCCATGTTTCATTGAGAATTTTGATAAGGCTTCTAATAATGATGCCAACTGAATTATCAACTTCTCAAAGTTAAGAATTGCAGTTAAATAGAGATACTATTTTCTATTATGTGACTGCTTTTTTTCTCTTGTTCATTGATCTCAAGAGGTATAAATCTAATATTTTTAGCCCCTTGCTTGTTGCAGCTTTTTCATTTATTGCTAATACGCAATTCATTCTTAGTCAAACTAAACTGAATAAGCCTGTAATTAAAGTTTGCAACAAAGATTAATAAAATTTTTACTAGTAAAAATGTAAATAAATAAAATCAAGGGGCTCCCTTAATCTTAACTGCTTTCCAGCTTTAAATCCTATGATGCTGTGAATCAATGGAGGTATGCATAGGCTAAATTGTTTTATGGGCTTTTTGTAAATGGATTTTTTTTTCTTCCTTGTTTTCTCAATAGTTTGCATACTGAAGTGATTATCGAATTGAATTGAATTGTAAGACTGCAGCATTGGAAACAAGGAAGAAAATTAGTCCATGGGAAGTATAATAAGGAACTAGAGGAGAAATGTGAAAGATACTACCAAGACAAAAACAATAAGATTTAATAACTAATTAGAAGGAAAAAAAGGGAAGGGTATGATTATCAGGGTAACAGAAATTATGGTAGTCATTCAGTTCAACAAATACTTATCAAACACCTACTGTATGTAACTATAGTGGTAAGTACCAGTGCTTGGCACATGGTAGGTACCTAGGAAATGTTTATTGATTATTGATTGGTTGGTATGAGGGCAAAAACTAACCGAACCTCATGGACCTTACATTCTACTAAAGGAAGCTGGGGGACACAGGTAGGGTGGTGGGGAGGGACGACAATAAGTATAATGCAGGGAGTAATGGAGACAAAGGAGGGATCTAGAGTAAGTATTTTAGAAATAAGTGAGGATAGAGGCTATGTGACTGGGTTAAGCTATGAAGGACAACCTGTGTGAATAATGTGTGAATAATGACAAACAGAAAAATTAGGGAAAAAATAATAGTCCAGATTGACTGGAATTTAGGGTATGCAAAGGGGGATAGTACAAAATAAAGCTAGAAAAGAGACTCTCATTATTTCAGAGTTAGAAGAGACCTTAGTGGTTATCTAGTCCAACCCATACCTGAAAGAGTTCCCTCTAAAATAGTAGTGTCAAACTAGGTTCCATGCAACTGGCAAAACTCCCCAGTAAGGCCTAAATTAGATTAAAATGGAATTGGTTAATGGTTAACAAAAATATAATACAACATAGATAATGCTATTTTGTGGTTTTCTAAGTCAAGAAGCTGCCCACAGGGCTCTGTTTTTATTTTAATTTTACATCACTGCTGTACAACTTAGTTTCAAGGGCATCCAATCTTTGCTTGATGAACTCTAATGAAGGTAATCCACTACTTCCCAAATCATCTCATTCCATTTTTGGGAAACTCTATTTGTTAGAAAGTGCAAGCCCTAAATTTGCCTCTTTGCAACTTCTACCCATGGCTTTTATCTATGCTCTCTGAAGGCAGTTAGGTAGCCCAGTGGAGCCAGAACTGGGCCTGGAGTCAGGAAGACCTGAGTTCAAATCCAGTCTCAGACACTTAGCAGCTGTGTGACCCTGGGAAAGTCACTTAACCCTGTTTGCCTCAGTTTCTTCATCTGTAAAGTGAGCTGGAGAAGGAAATGGCAAACCACTCTAGTGTCTGCCAAAAAACCCCACCCAAATGGGGTCACAAAGAATTAGACACAACTGAAACAACTGAACAATAAAAATGTCCTCTGAGGCCAGAGTAAAAACAATCCTTCTTCCACATATATTCTTTTAAATACTTGAGAACAGCTATCATATTTCCTCTAAATTTCCTGTTCTAAACAAAATATCCCCAGTTCATTCAATCTTCACATAATCTGGTCTCCATTCTCCTTCAGTAGCATTCTAATTGCCCTCCTCTGGGATATGCTCAACTTTATTAATGTCCTTCCCAAAATGGGGTCCCTAGAATTCATTTTTGTAGTTTATTGGTATTTTTTCAATTAACAGACATCTTAATCTCTCTCCTATTCAGCAAATAAAAACAAAATGAAACAAAAAAATCAATACATAGCTGCAGTCCAGCCAAATTCACACAGTAACTATGTTAGAAAATGTGTCTCTTCCTGCCTTTTAACTTCATTACCCCTTTGATAGGAAATAAGTGTGCCTAGAATTTAACAATACGCCAGTAATCTTAGCCCAGAGTAGAATAAAATCATGAAATTATCATCTCCTTTTTCCTGGGCAGCATGCCTTTCATAATGGAAGCCATGTCAACAACCATGAGCCAATTCATGGCAAAGAGGAGCTAAAGAAGATGAAAGTAGGTACAGGTGAACTTCAAAAGAAGACTGTTGAATAATGAGGACAGAGGGAAGGTCACGAAATAGAAGAAAACAAGAATTTTGCTTCCTTCTCCTTCTGCCCGGGGCATCAAAGGGCATGAGAGAAGGAACCAGCACTTAGGCAGTGATCAATGAAACATTTTCAGAAAAAAGTCAGTTTCCTGGTGAGTCAGAAGTTGGAGATTATTTTTAGGAATCGTCTGCATAAAGCTTATAGTCAGTTCCTCGCTTCTGACACCATACATGCATTTATTCGTACTTTACCTAGAATGCCTTTCTCTGCATTGCCACGATTTCCACATTTTCCTATCTGACAAATCCCAGCTCACTCATTAAGCCTTTCCTTACTCTCATAGACCACAATTATCTTTCTCTTTTCTGAATATCTATAGTATTTTTCAGGGATGGAAGAAGGAGGCTCAGAATAAAGACTTGGGAGACACCCACGATTGAGGGCACTACTTGGAAGAAGATTCAACAAAAGATTGAGAAGCAACAGTCAGACGGTAAGGGGAATCAGGAGAACCAGGAGAGAGAAATGTCATGAAAACCTGGAGAGGAGATGGTGTTTGGGAGAAGTGGGCTAACAATGTGAAAGAATAAAAAAGAGATTGAGAAGGATGAGGATTGAGAAAAAATTGGATTTGGCAATTAAGTGATCCTTGGTGAGCAGTTTCAATTAAATGATAATATCAAAGGATTTAAAAGTGATTGGAGGCAACCTGTATTAATGGCTTTCTAAAGGTTTTTAGCTTAGAAGAGAAGAGATAAAGGTAGGAAAGAGGGTAGAATCAAGTGAATTTTTTTTTTTTAAGGATGGGGCACATGAGATGTTAATTTTTTTCAGTGAAGTATAAGTGAAGACCTCAGCTGAGAGAGGAAGGAGAAGGGGCTCTGAAGAGGTATGGAAAGGAAAAGCTGCTGTACTGAGTGGGAGAATGAATTCATTATGGAGGCATGAAAGGATTGCCTTGCTGCAGTGAGGGCCCAATTCAGATTATGTAAATATACATTTGTAGTAGAACTAGTTGCCATAGAGTCCTAATTTCCTCCAGCACCATTAAGTATCACATGAATAAGAGCATAGGCATAGTATTGTGGGAGAAATATAAGGTTAAAACCAAATTACTTGTATCAAGAATGAAAAGGGAGAAGCTACCACCAAGGAAGAGAAAATTAAAACAATAATTAGGAATTATTTTGCCCAACTATATGCTAACAAATTTGACAATCTTAGTGAAATGGATACATATTTACAAAAATATAAATTGCCCAGATTAACCGAAGAGGAAGTAAAATACTTAAATAACCCTATCTCAGAAAAAGAAATTGGACAAGCCATTGATGAACTCCCTAGGAAAAAATCTCCAGGGCCAGATGGATTTACATGCAAATTCTATCAAACATTTAAAGAACAATTAATTCCAATACTATATAGACTATTTGGGAAAATAGGTGAAGAAGGAGTCTTACCAAATTCTTTTTATGATACAAATATGGTGTTGATACCTAAACCAGGAAGAGTCAAAATAGAGAAAGAAAATTATAGACCAATTTCTCTAATGAATATAGATGCAAAAATTTTAAACAAAATATTAGCAAGTAGATTACAGCAATTTATCACAAGAATAATACATAAGAATAATATTATTTATACCAGGAATGCAGGGTTGGTTCAATATTAGGAAAACTATCAGCATCATTGAGCATATCAACAACAAAACCAACAGAAACCACATGATCATCTCAATAGATGCAGAAAAAGCTTTTGATAAAATACAACACCCATTCCTATTAAAAACACTAGAAAGCATAGGTATAAATGGAGTCTTCCTTAAAATAATAAATAGCATATATCTAAAACCTTCAGCAAGCATTATATGTAATGGGGACAGGCTAGAAGCATTTCAATAAGATCGGGGGTGAAACAAGGATGTCCATTATCACCACTGTTATTCAATATTGTACTGGAAACCTTAGCTTTAGCAATAAGAGAAGAAAAAGAAATTGAAGGCATTAGAATAGGCAAAGAAGAAACAAAGCTATCACTCTTTGCAGATGACATGATGATATACTTAGAGAATCCTAGAGAATCAAGTAAAAAACTACTTGAAATAATAAACAACTTTAGCAAAGTTGCAGGCTATAAAATAAACCCACATAAATCATCAGCATTTCTATATATTACCAACAAAGCCCAACAGCAAGAGATAGAAAGAGAAATCCCATTTAAACTTACTGTAGACATTATAAAATATTTAGGAGTCTACTGAAACAAACCCAGGAACTCTATGAACACAATTACAAAACACTTTTCACACAAATAAAATCAGATCTAAATAATTGGAAAAACATCAGTTGCTCATGGGTAGGCCGAGCTAATATAATAAAAATGACAATCCTACCTAAGCTAATTTACTTATTCAGTGCCATACCAATCAAAGTACCAAAAAAAATTTTATAGAGTTAGAAAAAATAATAACAAGATTCATTTGGAAAAACAAAAGGTCCAGAATATCAAAGGAACTAATGAAAAGAAATGCAGGGGAAGGTGGCCTAGCAATTCCAGATCTTAAATTGTATTATAAAGCAGCAATCATCAAAACTGCTTGGTACTGGCTAAGAAATAGGGAGGTGGATCAGTGGAATAGGTTAAATATGCAAGACACAGTAGTCAATGACTATAGTAATCTATTATTTGATAAACCCAAAGACCCCAGCTTCTGGGATAAGAACCCACTCTTTGAAAAAAACTGCTGGGAAAACTGGAAAAGAGTATGGCAGAAACTAGGCATAGACCCAAATCTCACACCATATACCAAAATAAAGTCAAAATGGGTTCAGGACTTAGATATAAAGGCTGATACCATAAGTAAACTGGGAGAACAAGGAATAGTTTACCTATCAGATCTATGGAGAACAGAAGAATTCATGACCAAACAGGAGATAGAGAACATTATGAAAAGCAAAATGGATAATTTTGATTACATTAAATTGAAAAGTTTTTGTACAAACAAAGCCAATGCAACTAAGATTAGAAGGAAGGTAGAAAATTGGGAAAGAATTTTTACAACCAGTCTCTCTGATAAAGGCCTCATTTCTAAAATATATAGAGAATTAAGACAAATTTATAAGAACACAAGCCATTCCCCAATTGATAAATGGTCAAAGGATATGAACAGACAGTTCTCAGATGAAGAAATTAAAGCCATCTATAGTCATATGAAAAAATGCTCTAAATCGTTATTGATTAGAGAAATGCAAATCAAAACTGAGGTACCACATCACACCTATCAGATTGGCCAACATGACAAAACAGGAAAATGATAAATGTTGGAGAGATGTGGGAAAATTGGAACGTAATACATTGTTGGTGGAGTTGTGAAATGATCCAACCATTTTGGAGAACAATTTGGAACTATGCCCAAAGGGCTACAAAAATGTGCATACCCTTTGATCCAGCAATAGCACTTCTAGGGCTATATCCCAAAGAGATCAAACAAATGGGAAAAGGACCCACATGTACAAAAATATTCATAGCAGCTCTTTTTGTGGTGGCAAAGAATTGGAAATTGAGAGGATGCCCATCAATTGGGAATGGCTGAGCAAGTTGTGGTATATGAATGTAATGGAATACTATTGTGCTATAAGAAATGATGAACAGACTTCAGAAAAACCTGGAAAGACTTATGTCTGATGCTGAGTGAAGTGAGCAGAACCAAGAGGACTTTGTACACAATAACAGCCATGTTATGCAATGACTAAGATTGTTAAACTGAACCTTCTCTCAGCATTGTGAGGATCTAAGACATTCCAGAGGCCTTGGGATGGAAAATGCTGTCACATCCAAAGAAAGAACTATGGAAGTCGAATTGCATCACTTATTTTTACCTTCTGTTGAGTTTTGTTTCCTCTTTCTGATGGTTCCTTGTATTGGTTTTAATTTTTACTTACAACTTCACTAATGTGAAAATATGTTTAATGAGTATGTAAATGTAAAGCCTATATCAGATTGTGTGCCGTCTTGGGGAGGAAAAGGGAGAAAAACCTTCAACTCAAAAGCATATGAAAAAAAATTTAAATTAAAAAAATAATTAATTAAGAAAAAAAAAATATAAGGTTAAAGTTTGGCAAGGCATGATCAACAATCAGACAAGGAGACAATGGATTTGATTGTAGAAAATAATGAGAATTAAACTTAGGTATTCTTGGCTTCAAGGTCAGCTCTTTACCCACTTTGTCACATTGCCTCTTGTGGTGCTTTATACTTTTCAAAAACATTTTTTTCCTGTGTATTAGTGAGGAATATATAATACTACTATTGCTGATTTCATTGTCACAATAGATCATTTCAAAATAAAGATTCTTATTGCTTATTATGCTTCCTAAAATTTGTTTTTCTCCATAGAAACCACTGTTCTTAATATATCATGAATTCTTTAGAGCTTCAGATTGGTTATCTATGGGGTTACCTACAATCAGTTATAGACATGAGTTAGCCTTGTGTTTCCCTAGACTCTAAACATATTGAGAGATTGAGGACCGGGACTGTCAATCTTTTCTGTGTCCATGTGTCCTCCAAAGGATGAATGATAGACAGAATATGACAGGTAGGTACCTAGTTTTTGTTAACTGATTGAATTATCTACCACATAATCAAAGGGTAATTATTAAATATTAACTTTCTGGAAAGCATCTTGAATTTGTGTTATCACTCAAGCTTTATTGAGAAGGAAGGGGAAAGGGGATCTTGATAACAATTCTAGGTTGGATTTTACTACACATGATGAATACTGTGATTCAGGGAAATCATGAAACAGACCTTAATCCCGAGCGATCCTTTTTTGCTTCCTCAGTGACATTGCCTGAATGTGTTAAGAATCTGATAGCTCATAGGTTCTCCAAAACATTAATTACCTGTTGAATCCTTTAATGTGCAATGTCAGTGACCATTATGTTGATATACTTCTAGAGGAAGTTAACCGAATCTATGTTCACATTTTGTTATAAATGAAGCCAGAAGACACAAATGCTTAATGAATATTTATTGGATTGAATAAAGAATGTACAGATGAAGGGGCAGCTTACAGGTTTTTCCACGAGGAATTCCTGCAAATAGAGGAGTTCGTTTTGTTATGTGAGCAAAGGCAAAGAGACATTTTATGAGATTTGGCTTTCTCAAAAACCTTGCAGTGATTTATCATGAGTTACAATGATCCCAACAAACAAACAACCATAAAGAAAATTTCAGATTTTATCCCAACAGCTGTTGTAGATGATGAAAGTAAAATATTTGAAAAATTTGATAAAATCCTCCAAACAAGGCCAAAATATAGTTTCCTATTGCTGCAAAGGTAAGTTAGTGGGAGGAATAGTAAAAAGCATTTTGAAAAATACTGTCTAGGATCAATAAACGTAAGAGATCAAAGGTTTGTAGGCTTCTCAGAAGCTTCCCATCTACACATCAAGAATAAGGCACTGGATATAATAAACACTTGATGATACTACACACACATACACACACACACACACTCGCACACACACACACACACACACACACACACACACACACACACACACACTGGTTATTAAGGGAAAGGAAATGACTGATTATCCATGTGCTAGTTATTTCACGATCAGCTGTCTTCTATGTACTCTGATTGACCGGTTAGAGCAAAGGTCAAAGTCAGTACCAAAGTAGGAGAAAACATATGTAGTCCATGTTAACCCTGAGGGATAATTACCTTAACTCTCATTCTCATTGTTGAGTCCCTAGAATCCTATTGGCTAGCTACATCTGTCCTTCAGAGTTCAAGGGGTCACCCTGTGGGTCACAGGTAATTCTGTAATGCAGTTGGCTCGAGCCTTTGACGATGTACTTCTTCCCAAGATTATCAGTTGCGAATTATTTAGTCAGACAGACTTAAATATCTTTTTAGAAAGATGTATTTCCCAAGTTGGTATAAAACATCCCACCAAAAGTTTGTGGCATACTCTCCCTCATGCACATACTGAATCCAATAGAAAATGGACTCAAGCTTAGAGATCGTATGTGATGAAGGGATAATTTACAACAAATCCTTGTTTCTGTAAATCCTTTTCTTCCATGCATGGGATGATCAGAAAGTTTCCCTTTAGGCATGGTGAAAGCTA